GTGCTGCTATAATCAGCTCCACTCTTTTAGTTTCAGGCTTTTGACCAGATTTGTGAACATGGCTGCAGGGATTTGCTCCCGTTCAATTACAAGGGCATTAGTGAGGTCTGGTGAGGTCTAACACTGACGTTGGGTGGTCAGCTCTGGCCCGCAGTCAGTGTTGAGTTCATCCCAAAGGTGTTTGATGGGGTGGAGGTCAGGCCTCTGTGGAGTTCCTCAACACCAGACTGGGGAAACTATATCTTTATGTATGTGGCTTTGTTCATTGTCCTGTTGAAACAGGATCAAGCCCCAATATTTATGCTATACATTTAAGATTTTCTATAAGTAGAGATAAGGACAAACTGCCCCAACCATAAAAAACTGCCCCAGGCCAAAACTACATAAAAGCATGTGGAGTAGTAAGCAGTAGGGGAGAGCGGGGTGAGTTGAGCCAGTTTTTACTTGGTATCTTTAAAGTGAGGACATGACAATAATGTTTCCAACTTAAATAATATAAAATTTTAGGATGTTGTGCATCCCTGGGAATAATCAGTTTAGATCTAAAATAAACTGTTTTCAAAATATGGCTTTCCAGAAAAAGTGGACTCTTGGCTCAACTTGCTCCATATGAGAGGTAAGTTGAGCCAAGGGAGTGGATAGGTTGAGCCACATGGGGATCAGTGACATCAATGGCATTTTATCATGCAAACTCAAATGCCAGGTCCCAACATTCAGTTGCATTTAGTAGTGAAACATTGCAGCTTTGTCTCCTAGTTGTTTCATATCGATGTATTGCTTTAAAGCCATCCCGTTTATCGTCATCTCACGTGCCACCTGATGTATGGACTTCCCATTTTGTACTCTCCCCCTACTCTGTCCAAATCCACAACAGGAGTCGAAGCCTGTCTGTCTTTCATTTATAGAAGCATGACATGATGGTTTCTGGTCAGAAAATGCATAATGTCACATTTTGGTGATGCATAAAAATGCAATGTAAAATAACAGTATGATAGCTGGCCCAACTTCCCCCTGGTATTTTGTCTCAAATTACCCCATCCCTGCCATTTTAACAAAGCTTTGTCATCCAGCAGTTTAAAAGTAACGGCATGCTAACATTATAGCTTCATATTGTAACTTCCTAAAGCACTAACACATGAGTTTTCAAACCTGTCTGTAATTGTTCAGACACAAAAATCTCCTTGAACAAAAATTTATTACCATTTATTCTATGGGCCTCTCTCAATCACAGGGTGAGTAAAATGATTAACTCTTCAAAAATATGTATTCATATAACCAATTTTGTCTATGGTTGTCGGAAAACAAGGGGTAGCTACACTTCGCTCTCCCCTATCCATATACTTTTGGCCACATCACATATACAGTATTATAGGCTATTACCATAATACTTTACATTCTATATAGGAAGACTACAACAAAACCGTTTGCAGAATTGTATTGTTAGTGACAGATTTTTTGACCGAAGCCTCGTCAAGCGGCACAGAGCAGATAAACCAGGCAAGAAGTCAGATACAGAACAGCATAGAGAATCTGGTCAAATTTCAATATAAAACACCCATTACAGACTCCCAATCGTACATCAACAATAAACACAGTTAAAACAGACCAAAAAAAGAAACAATTTAACTACATAGCTACTTAACCATGGTAGAAGCACACAAATCAAGCACAACTGAACAAATAAGCAAAACACAGAGAGCTAAACGCTCCGCTGCTGAAACACTTCAGTGTGAGTTAATGCAAAACCGCGGCACAGCCACTGCCTGTGTCTGTCTCTAGTTTCGTTTGTTGTTGTTAAATGTACACGCCATGTGCCTGCTCTGATTGGTGAGCAGATCTGTCACACATCACAAGGATGACGGAATGAATTTGTTACTGCATGACTTTTTAAAACGGATCAGATGCGCTGTAACCTACATTTTAATCGCTGTCTTCACGATTAGCTAATCGCTTTTTTTCAAATCGCAATTTCAATTCGAAAACGATTAATTGTTCGGCCCTATTGAATACTGACAGCCTTCATATAGTGTGACTCACTGCAGTGCTCCTGTGCATCTCACCGGCAGAAAAGACAGCAGGAGACAAACGTCGATGCTGCCAGCTTGTCTGTGATGAAACGCTGAATTGTAATTGAAAAATGTAATTGCAATATGATAAACCACAGATGTCATGGAACTGTGTAAGAGAAAGCCTGATCTGTACGCACTGTTGCATTAATGCCTCATTAATACATTAATCAGCTCAGATTAACCAGAAAGGTAATGCATCAATTTAGATGGCTCTAGATAAACACAGAGTTCCAACATGAAGACAACAAAACAGAAAAGTACTGTTGTTCTTGAACAGATTAAACAGATTATATATAAGAAAGTAAGTTTTGAGATGGACTCGTCAGCTGAGGAGGCAGTAAAGTTGATGGTATTGATCTGTGACCCCATCATTCCCCCGCCTCATTCTGAAGAGATGTATGGTGGTCAATTTTAGTTATGGACCAGTGGATGTGAGGAATTGCAGATAAAATGTGATTCTGAAAACATGGGAGTCCTACTCCAAGACTGTAAATGGAGGACTGTGGACGAAGTTGTCGAGAAGTTGGTGTGATGTCTAGTATGTAGTTATGACCAACGTTTGAAAGCGAACAGAACAGTGTCTGAAAGAAAGGTAACATATGGTGTCATTTTAGCTCGCTCTGAGATGCGAGTTCAGAATCAGCAGGGTTTATCTGTCTTTTTTCAAAATAAAGCATTCATCTGCGGGGCAGTCCATGTTCAGCCAGATTTTTGCTTCATATAGTCCAAAGCAGTGAGCAATGGAATCTGCTGGACCTCAAGTAATACTGCAGTTTGTTGCCCGGCTCCTCTGGCGCCATGGCACACCAAAAGTCGATAAGGTGAAAACGATGCTCTGAGGGCAATTTAGTGTGTGATTATTTGCTGCTGGATTTTTTTTTTTCACATCCTCTACCCTCTTTGGAGAATACTGACATATTGCGCTATGAGGCAGATGATCTCAGTGAGAAATCACTGGCCCATAGAAAATGAGACCCACTGTGACTCTGCTTGTCACTTCATCCCAAATGCTCCAGGTTTCTAATGAGGTCTTCTCATATTGAGTGTCAGAGAGCTGGACAAGATGTTGATTTGTTCACTGATTCGATTGGTACTTACTGTACTCTATCACTCAGTTAGTGGCAAAACAACAGTGCTAAAGACAGGGTGATAGGCGACCACGCAAATCACACTGAGAAGCTGTCAATCCATTGCATGTTGTTTTTGTTTCCAATTGTCATCAAATCTCTCTTAATTAAAACTCCCTTGCTTTGCAGGAAGATAAAATGTTGTTTTTAGTAATTTTCTTGTGTCTGTCAATACATCAAAAGGGTGTAGTGCTGGTCATCTGATGCTTAATTAAAGTAAACAGTTTACAATTTGGGAAATAACCATATTTGTTTTCTTAGATGGGATTAGTTAGATGAGAAGATCAATATCACTCTTAAGCATGTACATTAAATATGGTGTTGCAGCTGGGAGGCAATTGACCCTTCGTACTGAATGAAACGTAATAAAGCCCTACTGTTCTGCTTTTTAATGATTGTAATAATAAATAGAGGCCGACCCAGCTTTACAGGAACAGTGTTGTTGTTGTTCATATCGTTGTCTTTTGTCTCAATCGTTGGGGGATGCGGTGGTTCACTTGTACTGTGTGATCGGTAGGCTTTAGCTTCTATCTTTAATTTTTTTCTCGTCTGTTTGAGTCGGTGTGACAGCCTGAATACAACCTTCAATTGTATATTGCAAATGCAAAACTGTCTGCTTCTTTCTGAGATCGCTTTTTCCAACAAATTTGACAACATTTCTCCAGGGAGTGCCGTATTAGACAGTGGCAGTGCTGACAGTTTGTTGGACTTAGCAACAGTAACTAAGGGAGGGGGGCTTATGAAATAATAAAGTACACAAGCTAACAAGTAACTTAATTTAATGGAGCTTTGCGGGATTCAAGGCAGAGTACTGAACTTGCGTTTGCTTCAGCTTTTTCATTCATGCTATGCATCATTACCTCAGTCATCAACTTGACTAACTAACTAATGTCAAATGAAATTGCAGATGTACGTGGCAGCCTAAGCAGAATCCTTATTGCTAGTAAGATTATTTATGATATTACACAATGTAATGCAATATAATTTCTATTATTGCTGTTCTCTATTAATTTCTCTACATTTGGATATTAATTTAAAACCAAGGTTAAGTTTCTGCAAGATATCCTAAAAGAGAAAGATAAGGCACTCGATAAGGTAAATGAATGAATGCTGAGTAATTTAAACCACAAATCCATCAGGTTATGTAATATGTCCCAGATACCCGCTGATACAGTGAGCAAATCATCCCTGAAGAGGAAATTTGGTCCCTGTGGCTCATTTAAAAAACACACAACAGGTCTGTGAAAGATAATAGTGTTGAGAAAATGAGGTATAAAACAGTGTAATAGGTGTTAAAAATAGTCTCCACAGCGGGAGCTTGGGTTCTTGGAAAAAAAACAGCACTTTACCTTTTTCCTCAGGTAGGTCATTTAGTCTTACTACCTCTAGGAGATCCATCTGTCTCTCACCCACTTCCCTTTACATTATTTCTGAGGCTGCAGAGAGATATAACGGCCTGAATACTAAACATTCTTCTTTCTTGCTTTTTTTAATTTTCCTAGTATGGCAACCATGTTTTGTGAAGAACAAAACATGATAATAGGACGCTCCCCCTCGCTGTATCACTCACTGGCTCTCCCATTAAGACACAAACTGGTGGTTGCAAGGGCTGTGATTACAGTCATTCATGAGGGGATTTGTAAAGAATACTTTGTTTCTTTCGCTCTCTTACTCTGGTGATGGAAAGTAGAAGCCCAGAATTAACAAGATAGGGGGTGTAACGTGCCAGTGACACAGATGCCTTAAAATAAATTTTATTTTTGTGAGCAATTAAAATTGATAGCGTCTATTCCCTGCTTGTCAGGTGAACGAGATTTACCACGACGAGTCACTGGGAGTCCACATCAACGTGGTCCTGGTGAGGATGATCATGCTGGGGTATGCCAAGGTGAGCAGTCCATTTCTGTTGATTTGCCTTGTTTTCGAAATGTACAAAATTACAGAAAATGATAGAAACTCAGTCAGGAGAGCATTTCCCCCCACAAGTGCAATATAATGGATGTGTGGGAGAAGACTACTGTAGCTAAGAAACAGAAAGAAATGTTCTTTCACACCTCTCCCCACAAGTTTGATCATATCACAAAGAAAAAGAAGTTTTAGTGCCAATAATTCTTCATAACAGGGCTGCAGCTGATTATTTTCATTGTGAACTTCCTCAGCAGTTGCTGTCATTTCATGTATTTTGCCATCAGATAACCGCTGGACTCTTAACAGCTCAAAAATTACCCTAAATGTGAGCCAACATGTTCCAGAAGTTCTGGCAAAACAATGGCATAAATTAAATATTCATGGATAACGTGTTGGAGGTGTTGCCACAGTGAGACAGCACAATCTGCTGTCCTTCATGAGCAAAATCACAATAATACCAGTGACACACACATAGCATTTCGTTCAAACATTTTGTTAGCATTGATGCTTTTTGTTCTCATCCTTTTAATTCAACTAGAAATATATGTTGGGAGAGAGAAGTGGCTTTTTCAACCTCACGGAGCATGCTAGTGACACATCCGCAGCCATTAATAATGGAGCAGGACTGCTAAATAGGGAAGAAAATGTCACACTCTCCTCACGCTCTCCTCCATACATACTGTAAAAACGCACGCATACATGCTCAGAGTAATCTGTGGCCCCATATTGATTAAATGTTCGCCTGGCTTTTTTTTTTTTATTATATAGAGGAAATTCAGTATATTATCCACTTACTGTATTATCACACCAGAAGTTCCATGTTTAATCTGTGAATATAGTGAATACTGCTCATACACATAAGGATTTTGGGCTCCTGATAGAATACTAATGTGTTCATTTAAACAGTGAATTTTCAGTGGTATGCATTTCTCTCTCTCTCTCTTTCTTTCTTTCTCTCTCTGTCAGTCCATCAGCCTCATTGAAAGAGGCAACCCATCACGGAGCCTGGAGAATGTGTGCCGCTGGGCGTTTGTACAACAGAAAGGCGACCCTGATCACGCAGAACACCACGACCACGCAATTTTCCTCACTCGCCAAGGTTTTGGCCCCACGGGAATGCAGGGTAAGTCCCCAGAGGGGATGTGTGGTTGCCTTCAGCATTTTGACCTGCCCTCTGTGGTTGATCTGAATACACTTACAAGAAATTATCCATCATAACACACAGCAGTAAAAGCATCCTGTCTTGCAAAACTTCCAACTTTTTAATAAGGTTGGATGATTGAACGATTTGAGACATCTTGTCTTGATTTTAAAAGATGAAATATTATGCAAATGCCCTGTTACCTTTCTTTTTTTAATTCTGTGATAGCATTTTAAATGCCAGGTAAAGGCACAGGGCTTTTGTCTGACTCTAAACAACAACAAGCCTTGAAAAAGAGCACTGAACAATCAAAAAAGCCCATAGCACAACCAATGAATGCAGACCTAGAAAGACTGGAGGCTCAAAGCAATTTACACTGTCTGCCAGATATTGACTGCTCGCCCTACTTCTTATTTCCTCCACATCAGCCAAACTGAAACAATAAGTGCAACTAACTGTCCAGGCCCATTCCTCTTTATGCCTCTTTAATTTGGCCCTTTTGAACTACAGCTGCATTTATTTTTAACTTGGAAGTGAACTTTGTGTGCTTTGGCTTTGGTTAATCCTCTAATCCCTTCCTTTTTTGAGATAGAAGGGCTGGGAACTTAAAGTGTAGTATACAGGCATGTACCAGACATGATTTACATTACCTGACAAGATGGAAGTGTTTACAGACCTCACTGATGCAGTGGCATTTTGTCAGACTTATTGGGGTGCATTTCAAACAGGGTTTGTTTATTTGTTTATTGAACACTTGGAGCATTACTACTGCTTTGTTTAGCCAAGAAAAAGCTCTGTCAATAACCTTAGCAATATATAATCTCTGTTTCTCTGGTCTGCAGTGCTCTTTGTTCAGAATGACAACATAATCTGAAGCACTTACATGAAAAAAACCCACAAAAACCTTCTAGAACAGAAAATATCATGGGCAGAAGATAAGGTTAAAAAAAAAAGAGCATCAGAGGAGGTAAATTATTGCAGTGGAAATGAGACTGTTGTGATTAGCTGTAAGCTATATGGATTGGAATCCAATTTGTTTGACTCGAGAAACACAAGTTGCTAGTTTGCAGAGGTAAAGCGTTGCAATTGTACTATAATGGAGTCTACTGTTTGCTTGTTACTATTGTGTATCCAAAGAAGGTTAAAATCAAGGGCCACTGGACTTGGTTGAAGATACAAGAAGATGTTTCGTCCCTCATCCATGTGACATCTTCAGTTCTTTTTGACTGGTAGGGAAACTAAGCTATTTAACCACAGTGGGATTGTTTGCCAAGATCATTGATACCGCTGGTTCGTTAGTGCTCCTGGCTGTTGTAACGACAGTCGTTATGGTCGTTTGAGCCACCTGAGGCCAAGTCTTAACGACCATCTTCACCTGAGACCAAAAGTGAACGTTTGTTGAGTTTCCTGGGAAGTGATGAAAGGACAGCATTGTAAGTGGGGGATAAGTGGTGGCGTAGACCCCCTCCTTTGTTAAGTGACGGCTTCACAACCCGGGTGTAAATAGCTTCCTCGCCTCTTTCAAACCGTCCATCATATCTAAAATGTGCACCTGGTGGTCCTCAAACGAGTGTCCTCTGTCCTTCAGATGTAAGTAGACTGCAGAGTCTTGACCTGAGGAGTTGGCCCTTCTGTGTTGAGCCATGCGTTTGTGTAGTGGTTGTTTAGTCTCCCCAATATACAGGTCTGTGCATTCCTCACTGCATTGGACCGCATACACTAGATTGCTTTTCTTGTGTTTGGGTGTGCGGTCTTTGAGGTGTACCAGCATCTGTCTTAGTGTGTTCTTGGGTTTAAAAAAATACAGGGATGTGTTTTTTGTTGAAAATCCTCCTGAGTTTCTCTGATACTCCAGTTACACTTACCGAATCACAACATTGTTGCGTTTGACCTTCTATTGTGTAGTGGTGTGGTAATCCTGATGGGTGTTTCACCAACAGTGTTTTTAGGAAGCCAACTGGCAAACAATCATTTTGTACTTTATTTATAAATAATGAAAGCATACAAAAAGCATATCAGAAAACGTAACATAAACTGACTGTGTTATAATATGATGTGATATACAAGCTTATCGATACTGCTATTGAGACTAGTAGGTCCTATAATGTAAGGTTATGGCTCGAGCGTCAAATATGGTTTAACTTGGAATGCGATGAATAAGAAAACCAAGGTTTTTTTATTGATGACACCGAAACACTGTATTAAATGGGCACGGGACTGTCTATCATCAGGCTACAGCCTCTGTCTGCTCCTACACACACACACACACACAGGTCAGCAGAGAGAGAGGCGGCGCCGTCGCAGTGGAGACGGTGAAGTTAAGTCCGCTCCAAATTACTCGAGTTGACGGCAGTTACGCTCATTACTGTAAGTACGTACAATAGAACCTTCATGAGTAAAAAGACAATACTTTATCAGTACACCTGTATGTAAGGTAAACATCTAGAAAGGGTTAATTTAATCATCTCTGTCCTCAGTCTGTCATCCTCTGTGTTTTATACAAGCACTACTAACGTTAGCTTGGCAATTAGCCAAATGTTACAAACAAGATAAATTGAACGCTGTCTTTCATAGACTGTTCTGTAGTCTTCAAATTTGGCACATTGTTAAAAACTCAGCTGCTGGCTGAGACAAACCAGCCGCTCCTCCTTCGTCCAGGTAACATTACTGGCAGGCAGTGAATAACAGCAGAGAGGAGGAGGAGAGACTGACACAGACTGAGTAGTCACTCAGTATTGTGATAGCAGATAGTTTATCTGCTATTGTAAACATTAATGTTGCTGCTCTAGAAACAACAGTTGTATTTAAAATATTAAAGTCTAATCCTATAATTAATTTAACAACAACCAGGCAGTTAATATGCACACTTCAATATTTGTTTATTTATTGCAAGCGATATGTCACCTCAAGATAAAACAATGTTACTGCACATCAAATATTTTCCTCATGCCGTGCAGGCCTACCTCATGCCTGTTGGGTCTGGTCTTACCAAATAACCGTCACCAAATAATAGTAAAGTATTGATAGTGGTATTGATAAAGAATCGGATCATTAAGCAGTCTCAATAAGGGTATCAATATTTATAAAAATTAATGATCCCCATCCCTACTCAGGAGGTAGGTTATAAACTCTACATACCCTACAGCCATGCTCTGTGAGACTGTACTTGAGCTAAATGCTAACATCAGCATGCTTACATCCTCATAATGATTATGCTAGCATGTTGATGTTTATCAGGTATAATATACCATTTTTTTTACATCACAATTTAATGTGTTAACATGCTAAAATGTGCTAATTAGCACTAAACATAAAGTCCAGCTGAGGCTGATGGTTATGTCATTAGTTTAGCAGGTATTTGGTCATAAACCAAAGTATTTGACAAAATGAAATCAGATGAACCAGATGATGGCCCTAGGTCAAGTGATGAAATATGATTATTAATACTAGATGACCATGAATGTGTGTACCAAGTTTTACAGAAATGTATCCAATAGTTGTGGAGACATTTTAATGCAAAAAAACACAAAAAACTGTCAAGCTCATGGTGGCAGTAGATGAAAAGTCAGGAAATCACCAAAGTGGTTGACTGACTAACTGACCGACATTACCACCCATAAAGCCATGCTGCTAAGTGTGTAGAACATGGTCTGCTAAACAAGTTGGTGAGCTAATAAAGCGGAGGTCAATTTTATTTGGGTAGTGTAAACAAGAAAATATAAGAAAATGCACCTTTTTTCTTTCTAGTGTGTTTTCGACCAAATAAAATAAGCTGTACAATACATGTGGTGACATACCTTCAGCTTGTTCAGGCATAAAATGGAAAATGGTCTGTATTTTTATTGCGCCTTTCCACTCAAATTGCTTTTAGACTATATCACGTCCGCCCCACTCACAAACTGAATAGCAGGGGCAAAGGTGCATCTGCCATCAGGAGCGATCTAGGGTTCAGTATCTTGCCCAAGGATACTTCAACATCCAGACAGGGGGAGCTGGGGATCGAACCACTGAACTTCTAATAAGTGGACGAAAACAATGTGCACACACTCAGTGTGACGCAGCTGAGGCTAAAAAGACCAGTGACCCGGTATACAGTGTCACGCTCTACCTGAAATTTGAGACACTGAAGCACCTATATCCAGGATTGGCTGAACTGGACCTGGTAGTTGAATCATACATTTTTGGTTAGCAGACTTTCAGACACAAGGTTGTCTTGGGAATAAGAGCCAAGGCACATGAACAGACCATCAGAGGCTACTGCCCATCTGGCAGCAAAGAAGCATGAACCAATTTCTATATAGCCATGCAGATTTAGAGGGCTATTATTTTCTGGTGTGTTGAGTCACAGCAAAGGTAGTTCTAGAGAAAACATTTGGGGTTATGTGTTTGCAAGTGAATTAATACCCAGCCCTGTGTCTATACCAACTACTAACTGGGCACAACATATACTAGATGACATCATTTGCTGACACCCAAGGAAGGACGCAGGTGGAGCTGAACCCTAGTGAGTTCGGCTCACATTCAGTTAATTGATGTTATATAAACACAGACAGAAACTAAACCAAACTACTTCAGGGATGAGATGAGAACTTTCTTGTGTTGGGGAGTCCTTCCTTCTTCTCCTCTCTCTCTCCCTCTCTCTCTTTCCTCCATGGTGTTGTTGGACAAGCTCATATTAGATAAGATCTGCCTTCTTGTTGTTCTGCAACCAATCAATAGGACAATTGGCCACCATGTGACTGAGGAAACGCCACTGGCTCTCACAGATGAGCTGTTGTTCAAGTGAACTTTTTGCCCTTGCACACATGGACAGATTATGCCACCTTAAGTCCTGGAGGCAGCAGTTTTCAGTCGTGAACTTTCTGGTTTGACCTTATAGTAAGAAATGACGTCTTTATGAAGCTTTGGCAATGGAGTAAGTTGGTAACATTGATACCATTTATACATTTATGCCAAGGCAGCTATCCCTTTTAATATGAATG